GCGCAAAAAGGCGGTGCAGACCAGCGGCTACTGCGACGCCAGCAAACGGCCCCCCGAAATGGAGAGCTGCGGGCTGCCGCCCTGCGAGTACGTCTGGATCACCGGGGAGTGGTCGGAGGTGAGTCCCAACCCCCGCAGAGGGACCGTGCTGCTCGGCACCGGGCCACGCTCCCCGCCTTTCACCACCGGCCTCGCTGAGATATTGCAACCCAAATCAACAGTGGCAGGGCAGTGCTGCGTGGTTTAATTATTATTTTTTGGTTTGTTGCTGTGTGCAATTTCTCTGCTGGAGAGAAGGAGGCAGGACTGTGGGAGAAGACCAGGATATTAAAGACTAAACACCAGCATGCTCTGAGTCTTAGCTAATATCTAGAGGCAATTTTCTTCCAAAGCACATCGTATCCAGCAGGCACCCTCTTCTGTTTTGTGCCATTTCATTTCATTTAGTTATTTATTTGGTTTTTATTCCTGTCCCCTCCTGGGGAGCTCTGGGGCCTCGTGAGCTGTGAGAGGGTCCCGGTCAGCATCCTGAACGTGACCGTGGGGACACGTCCTTCCTCGGCGCTGTCTTTGGCAGGGGCGAGGACCTGGCGTGAGCGAAGGCAGTGGGTTCACCCTCGCAACTGGGAGAGGGCTCGGCAAGGGAAATAGATGAGTTTTCTTTGCAGCAGGCGCTGTATGTGGGAGGAGCTGGGCTAATCTCAGCCCGTTTCCTTCTCCAGCGAGTGAGGGATTAGTTTCCACTTGGAGGAACAGGAGAGGGAAATAACAAGGCAGCTGCTGACACAGCACTGATTAAAAAGGAACAACAAGAAAAGAGAAGAAAAAAAAACATGCCAGGACTAAGGGGGAGGAGAGACAAGCCGCCTGAGACAGCACAGGAGGGAGAAACATGGAGAGATTAGAATTTCTCAGAGCAGCCTGGTCTCCTGGGTAGTTTCCTAAGAGAAATATTAGGGTGCCTGTGAGGCTGGAGCCCTGGCTGCCCAGACACCCTCTACCCGCTCCCACTGCCTGTGACCCCCTGGGTGCACTCGGACCTGTGAAGATGAGGAGGTGGGTGAGGGCTGTTGGTGAGGAGGGCAGAAGCACTGTTTGTCCTCTAATTACAAGGAAAACCTTCCCTTTCTTCCAGTTGCTGCCAAGTACCTGCAATTCAGGGTCAATCTTGACCGTTTTCTTTCTCTGTGCATTCCATGGAAAAAAAAAAAAAAAAAAAAAAAAATAGAGGCATTTGTGTGTTCCCAAGGATCTTCTGCTCCTTTCTTTGCCCTGGGGGAGAAATGACTTATGCCCAGGAGCCAGCCTGGGGCAGGGGTCCTGGAGAAGCTACACAGGGAGGACGTGGGCATTCAAAGACAGTGTCAGGCACCAACCTGCTTGTAGCTGCTCATAATACCCATGGCTGGCTTAAACAGTTACTAGTGATCCCTCGGAGCAGCTTGCCATTTTTGAAGCTGGCAAGTCTGCTTTTCCTCCCCGACTCAGGCAGCCTTCCCACAGCGCGCGGTGCTAACGGGCGCTTCCTCATCCCGCAGTGCTCCGTCACGTGCGGGAAGGGGTACAGGCAGCGCCTGGTCTCCTGCAGCGAGATTTACACCGGGAAGGACCACTACGAGTACGGGTACCAGAACACGGTCAACTGTCCTGGCACGCAGCCGCCCAACATCCAGCCCTGCTACCGCGGGGAGTGCCCCGTCTCAGCATCCTGGCGCGTCGGCAACTGGGGAAGCGTAAGTTTGGCAAACATCTTTTTTTAACTGAAAAAATTGGAAGAAAGTTATTGTTGTTTATGCAGGCAACACAGTCCCGAGGTTGGCAGGGGAATGTTTAAGAGCTGCATAAATTAATGCAATGAATACCCTCGTGCAGCAGCAGCATGGGTCTGCGTAGGGCTCCGTGCTCCAGACTGAACCCCATCGTATGGGGGAGTCCCAGCAGCCATGAGTGGAGCCATGTTCTCCATGAAAATTCAGTTGTAGCCAAAATTTGTGGCATTGTTGAGGGTGATGCTGAATGCTTAGTCAGAAAGTTGGGTTATTGCCAGAAACCAAGGGTTTGAAAGCCTTGTGCTAGAGTAGACAGAGTGATGGATGGTTGGCAGCTGGGGCTGATCCTGCTTGCCCATGTGTGTGAGCAAGACTTGGGAACCACCAGTAGACCAAAACACTGGGAATATGAGCCTTGACAGGATTTTCCTTACTTTTTCTTTTCCCCTGCTCCTTCTTACCAATGCTGGGACAGGGCAAGGGAACAAATTTCACCTTTCTGCTAAAGTTATTTATGCCGAGCCTCTTCTGGGGCCTGAACTACAAGATCGAATTTTAGTTAAGGTGATAACATTTCACTTCTTTGGGCTTCTGACATCCTTTGAAATGTGGTGTTTCTCCCATAAACTTGATTTATTAACCCAGCTCAGGCATTTGTAGGAATTTGTCAGACCTTTACAAGGCAATGAGGGTCAAGTCAAGCAAAATGTAGTGGAAGTTGTCACAGTAAATGGTAAAGCTGTTTGAAACCTAAGTTCCTCCTGCCCTATAGGAAGCCTCAGATCCCCCTGCGAGTCAGGGCAGAGGAGTTACAGCAAAGAGCTCAGCCTCAATTAATTGGTATTTTCCTGCAGAATTTCATTGCAAAATGTCCAACTCGTTAACACAACTTCATTGCAAAGTGTATTGATTTCAGAGAGCAAGACCTTCCTCCTCGCTTTGGGCTGCTGAATGTCCCAAGGACTACCGAGTACCACAACCCATCCATCTCTGATTTTCAAAGGGATTTAATGTAAAATACCATCACCTTTGATGGACAAAGAGAGTCCTGCTTAGCTCCTTAGTTAAGTTTTATGAATTTGGACCTAATAAAAAGTAAATACCTAGCTTCAAATACCATGAGCTGTTGAAAACCATCTCCTTCATGGTGTCTCCTTTAGACTAGCAATTTCTAAATAGATGAGCAAGATCATTTTCTTGGCAGCCCAACCTGGTACGTGTAGAAAGAGCTGATTTTCAGTTTTCAAGTACTGAAAGAACAAGTTGCAGAGGGGGAGCAAGATGCACCCACCTCCCATCGCCTGTGCTCAGTGGCAGCCAGCCCAGGTGAGCTGCTGCTTGGTAGTTCCAGTAACTTACTCAGTTTCAGCCTTAAGATTGCCTTCAGTCTGGGCCATTTGAGGATGTCCTAGCGTTTGTGCAGATTTAGGCATTTTTCCAGGGGGTAAAAGGGAGCGAGGGTTTGGAGGCTGTGGGTTTTTTGGTGGAATTTGGATAGAAAACAACAACCCATATCATGTTTATTCAGAGGCCCCTGTCTGTGACCCAAGCAATGTCTCCTAGCCACCAGGAGAGAATCTCTACCATTCACGCCTTCTGGTGAACATTTCTGTCTTGTGTGACCTTCCTAGTTTGAAAAATAAACAATTTCATGTGGGTGCATGGTTCACGTTAACCAATACTGCCTCATCCTGTAAAGCGTTTAAGTGCTAAGTGAAGTTCAGTAGTCTTCTTGAAATAATTAGTGACGATGATAATAATGAAGGGATTAGTAATAAAAGGGTTTACTTGTTTGATTAAAATTAAGCTTATGTTTGAACACTTTGCAGGATTGGGGCCTTTGCTGCTGTCTCTTGATGCAAGGGAAAGGTGCTGTCTCTGTTCTTCTGGAGCCCAGAAACCCTGGAGATAAAACACGAATCTCTCTCTCGTGTCTTGCAGTGCTCTGTCACCTGCGGGGCTGGAGTCATGCACCGCTCGGTGCAGTGTTTGACGAACGATGACCAGGTCAGCAGCTTGTGCTACGGAGACCTGAAACCCGAAGAGAGGAGGACGTGTCACAATGTCCACGACTGTAAGTCTGCAGATTTGCACCTTCCTTTGCCTTTCTCGTGGCTTCAGCATCTGTTCCCATCAAACCTGTAGACACGTGCAATGTTTCCAAGCATTGGGAGCCATCCAGCTAAGCAGCTAAGGGACTTCAGGGAGACCTCTTAAAAATAAACAAGGTGTTTCGATGCTTTGGATGCTTCGCAGTGTTACAAAAGAAATTTTGATGTACAGTTGCTCAGTGCCCACAAATATTTCTGGTTTGTTTCAGGTGAATTACCAAGGAGTTGCAAAGACGTTAAAAATCTCAAAGGTGTCACTGAAGATGGCGAATATTTCCTTCAAGTCAAAGGAAAGATGTTAAAGGTGCATTTCGGCAACAGATTGATAGTTAATGTGTTTCCCAAAGGTGCAAGAGGACCCTGCATGTGCTCTTCGCTTCCACTCTTGCATTTTCTACCTTCAGTTTTCTTGGCCATCCCTTTACACCTGATACCTGACAAAATTCTGGCTTCTCTCTCAGGTGTACTGCTCTGGGATGCAGACTGACAGCCCAAAGGAGTATGTGACACTTGTAAACGGGGATGCAGAGAATTTTTCAGAAGTGTATGGATACAGGTAGGAAATCCCTTAATCCTGACCTTTGCAATATTTTTGTTTTCCATGGCAATATTTTCCGGTCATGAGTAGAAAGGGTTTTCTTTTGATTTAGATTGCATAACCCGACTGAATGTCCGTATAACGGGAGCAGACGAGAAGACTGCCAGTGTAGGAAAGATTACACAGCAGCTGGGTTTTCCACCTTCAGCAAAGTAAGGCTGGACCTGAACACTATGCAAATAATAAGTGAGTAAACACAGGGCCTTGCCATTAAAAAAAAAATGTTTATTTTACACAAATATAGCTGTATCTGCAACCAAGCGGTAGTACTCTAGTGAGCAATATTCCTGAGCTCTCCTGTTAAAGGCTGCTTTACTGTTAGAGACTGCAACTTGAGTACATCAGAGATGCTCATGCTATTTCTCTGTAGTACAGAAAAATATGAAGACAGTCGCTGGTGCATCTGGTATGCAGAATGAATATCTGCATGCTCCCAGCAGGCCAGTGTATTTTTTGAAGGATTTTATTTCATTTGGTCTCCTATTTTCAGACTGGACTCGGGCAGAAAGCTTATCCAGGGAGGAGCTGGACCCCCTTTTACACACAGACCTGTCCGGAGAGCCCAGTGCAGGGGACTCAGCTGGGGTGGGGATGCTGCTTCCTCCGGGCCAGGGTGGAGGAGGCTCTCAGCAGAGCCAGACCATGGGGAAATAACTTGTGTTGAGAGCGATGGAGCTGGGGCTGTGGATTTGCAGGGGAGGAGGGGACTGTAGCTGTGCAGTATAAGGGATGCCCTGTCTCTCCTGGCATGCTGGGGAGCTGGGAGCCATCCCACAGCATCCCATAGGGTTATGGTTTCAGTCCCCTTGACTCCAGGGATGCTATCAGTTTCCAGCAAATGTTTTAAAAATACAGCGTATTGTTGGGGGTTCATTCAGTAAATAGGGGAGATCTTTTAGCAAAGCAAAATCCTTCCTTGTAAACTGACTCTTTATCTGATAGGGGGGTTTTATCACTTAATTTTCAAGCCATAAGACCTCCCAGTCTATCAATCTGTAAAAAGCTACTAATGGTCTGTAAAAGCTCCTGGGTAAAGATCTCAAAGGAACCACACACGGGGAATTTGATACCAGCTCCCTTTGAATTTCAAAACGAGCTGGGCACCTACCTCTGTCAGGCAGGAGCTATCTCACATCCCCATCTAAATGAGTCTCGGTTACTTCAGATCCTTCCAGAGCAAAATGCCCCGATTCCCTTTGAAACCCCGACCCCTGGGCTGGGGCAGCCAGGAGAGCACAGAGATGGTTGTTTGTCTGCGTTTAAAAGGGAGATTTAGGAGGTCCCGTGGCCTTCTTGAAAGTGGGGAATTTTCTGATAGAGAAATAAAACCCAAGCCATGGGTTCGAGTTTTGTTGTTATTTATACCTAGACCCTAAATCACCAGTGTACTTAAACTGAGCTGTAAATGTTGAGTGTGTGAGCATCCTTGTCAAATTCATTGCTCGCATACCGGGAGCCGCATGTGGGATGAATTGGGCATTTAATATTAAAAATCCAGCAGATGTGGTCTTGACTCTCAAGATTAATGGATGAAACCAGCTTTAGTGAATTTAAACATTAGTGAAGAGCATGTTTACATTTATTTTCTCTCTCTCCCTGCATCTTTCTTTCCATATTATTCACCAACTATTCTCCACAGCGACCGATTTACAGTTTGCACGGACACATGATGGCCGACCTGTTCCTTATGCCACTGCTGGGGACTGCTACAGTGCCGCCAAGTGCCCGCAGGTATTTGACAACAGCCTTTCATAGGCATCAGTGCCATTTGTTACATTCAGGCCCTCTATTAATTACTGCTGATCGCATCAGCCCAACTCCAGTGAGTGTCACATTCTGATCTCAGCAGTTGGAAACTTTTCCCTTTGTCCATGCAGACAGCGACTTCCATTTTCCATATGGGAAAATGTCAGGTTATTCTCAGACCAGCATCGGGACTGGCTAAGGGACTTTCACCAGGGCCTCAGACAGTCAACAGTAAAGGAGAAAAGGAAGAATAAATAAGCTTTGGGGAAGAGTTGGGCTTTGCACATGTAGTTGAAGGTAAGGGGATTGGGATCGGTCGTGGCAGGGCTTGGTGGAAATGCTGGGCAGTGAGAGCAACAGTGAATCAGGCTGTCAGAATGCCCTGGGGCCCTGCAGTCCCCTGTCTGCTGCAAATGCTGTTTGCAGGGGTGCGGGAAGATGGGTGAGATGACCCCTCTGGGTGGAGAAGGCAGCGGACAGACAGCAGGACTCCTGCCCAACCAGCTCAGCGGGGAGATGCCCAAGAAGGAGAGGGCGTTTGCAGGGCAGGAGCGGGTCAGGTTTCTGCGGCTGGACCGATGGACTCCATCAGTCAGACTGCAATGGTACCCGCCAGCTGCTGCCCCACCATCCACACACCCTGCTGCTTATTTTCACAGCAGCCTGGTGGGACCGTCGCTCACTCCACTTCGGGCCTGGGAAAACACTGACAAAATGAAGGCAGTGCCTGCGCATCAGGGCAAATCCAGCCTGTCCCAGCACCACGAGGTGCCCAGACACAAAAGCACGGAGCTGGGCACAGGCTAAGTCGCATCCTCAGTCGCTTCAGGAGGCGATGTAGGACATCTAGCCCAGTCGCTTGGGAAAAATATGCTTTCTTGAAAGCCTTTAGGAGATTAATTAACTGTGCTACATGTGGCTTGTGTCCCCAGCATACCTAGTTTCTGTGGAGCTGGGGGATGGCAAGTGGTGTGTTCGGATAGTCCGAGGTATTGGGTAGACCGTAACTGCACAGGGTATGAAGTAGGGAGTTGCAGCAACAGGCAGCAGAGGGCAAGTCTCTCCGTCTTCTTCCCTCCCTGCTTTCCAAGCTGACACTTTTCTGCACAGCTCAGCAGCTTAGGGATAGACTTCTTACCTCGGGAAGGCTCATGAATGTTAATACCCATCAACCTCACCCAGACAGTTTGCTCCTTGCAGAAAATCAAGATTCCCAAGGCAATGAGTGCAGGGAGCGAAGCTAACAGCCATCTGGTACGGCACGGCTGTGCTGGGCTACGGGTCAGCCCGGAGATGTGGCCACAGGATCCCTCCTTGGGTCCAGAAACAGGCAGGGCTGGGGGCAAGAGGAAGGCTGAGGAGATGCAGGCATAGCCCTTTATTTTCCATCCGTTTCAAGCGTTTTGAGACAGGGTGCAATGAAGTGAAGGACATTTTTAAGAAATAAACAAATGAAAGAGTTTTGATTCTAGTGAAGTCTGGGGGAAACAACAACAAAAAAGCCCAGTGGAAAATAAGGAAAATAAGGACAAGTGTGCCCTCTCCAGCCGAGGAGGGAGCAGCGAGAGCGGCTGCAGCGCATCCCTGGGATACCTTTCCCATCAGCTGCTGGAGCACGTCGGGCTCCGCAGTTTGCCATGGAAAAGCCAAGAATGCCCTCAGCCGGCAAACTGTGAAAAAGCAGTGCAAACCCGAGAAAAAGCAGCGAAAAAAACCAAGATAGAGCCCCTCCTTCCCTGCAGCCACCAAGGAGAAGAAAATTCCTAACCCGAGACATGCTGTGATTTGTACAATCTGTGCTAATCACTATCAGAGCGATGGAAAAATTTGAAAACATTGCTGGTAAGATCCTGTTAGAAAAGTGAACCATAGCAAAAGCTATGGTTCACTTTTTTTTTGAGATAACCAGGCTCATCTGCTTGTTTTTTTAGGGTCGCTTCAGCATAGACCTTTACGGGACAGGCCTGTCCCTAACGGGAATGGCAAAGTGGCTCTCGCAAGGGAATTACGCAGTGTCGGAAATTCAAAAATCCCCAGTAAGTTGTAATTTTAATGATGCTTATACTCACTCATGAGAGGTTTCTAACTGATGTCTTTCATGGCAACATTGTCCAGGTAGAGACTAACAAAAATCTGACATCTGACATCAGAAATGAAGTGTTGCCTCTAATTGTTTGGGGGGGGGGGCTAGCAGGTTTAACGTGAGTTATTGCAACTAATTAGTGAGCCAGCTCAATCGTGAAGCTGAAAATGCTGTGTGGATATGCAGACATGTCCATGCATGGAGCACGCATGGACGTGCGTGCTGAGATGTCCGGCATGGAGCACGCATAACACGGCAGGCAGGACGGGGGCACGCAGGGTCAGGGCTGCAGAGCAGGGCTTGACCTGGCGGAGAGGGTTTGGATGCCACGCGAGTGCCCTGAGTGGGAATTGTTCCCAAAACGTGGCTAATAAAATATGGAGGATGTGGACGCTCCCAACGGGCTGGGTGACCCAAGGAGATACAACGGGTGTATCTCCTTGGGTCACCCAGGCGCTGGTGGGCTGGGGCTGCCCCACAGTGCACTGCACCCCAGGGCTTTGCTGAACTGAGGCCTCCGGGTAAACCAGGCAAGCCTTCAAAATCAATCCACAGCCAAGTTTGAACTTGTACGACTCAATTTGCCTGCCTGCTAACAACTCAGTTGCTGTGTGCCTTCACACTGTTGCTTCTGTGTCGTGTTCTGAAATTGGAGAAACCCAGGATCGCTTTTTTGGCTGTTATTTCATGTGAGTCATCCCAATTGCCCCCGTTAAAGCTCTCCAAAGGAGGTCACCATAATAATTTAACAAAAAGCAATTTGCAAAGTATCCTCTCCTGTTACTGCTTTCAATCTCCTTTGCTCTGTGGAGCGCCCCTTGAGCCAATAAGCCTCATCAGTGCTGGAGCTCTTAAAGGAGAATTTAATACTACTGGTCCGACCATGCTGCAGCAAGGCATCCTCCAGTACAGGTACAAGAGGACCAGTACAGACCCCATATGTTAGTTCTGGCAGGGGCTTTACTATTCTTCTCCCCTTCTGAAAGGAGAAGCCTGGGCAGCCAACGTTGGGGTTGCGGAGAGCAGACACCACCACAGCTGGCAGAATTAAAACAAGCTTTAAGGAACAGGGGGTCTAAGAGACGACTCTTACCTCCATCACCCGGTGGCATCTGTCAAGCGCTTGTTCCGAGGGTGTAATTGCCCCCAGGAGCAGAAGAAAGAAAGGCATAGCGAGAAGAGATGATAGCAGCCTGCTGCAATCACAGATCAATAGTGTCAAGGGCAGGATGGAGCTCGTTTAAAAATAAATGCTTTGTGCAAGCTTGTCCTGCATTGAAGTCCAATTTTCTGGTAATTGAGGGCTGAAATCCCCGCAAGGACTGTCTGTACATTGTAATGACCAAGAGGAGAAACACTCTGCAGAGGTGGGATAAGGAAGGCCAGATGGAGGTATTAATCTCCTGACTCAAGACGCATGCTGGGCTCTCCTGGAGACCGGGCCAAGCGCAGGACCACTCCGCATCTTTCTTTGTCTCTTCTGGCTGTGGAAATGCAGAGCTGAGGGGGGACAGCACCTTAGCACGTGGCATAGCCTCACCCCATCGCTTTCCCTCTCGTCTTGGCTCTGGAGCCACTCCAGGCTTTTACCTTCCAAATGGCTGTTTCTTGGTATTTCCTGCAAATATCCTTCCTGCGCCCCTCACATGCTCAGGCACAGCTGAAGAGCTGTTGTTGTCTACATGTGGTTCTTCTCTTGCATGATCCACGTTTTCCACTCATTACAGTTATTCACTGTGGGGCAAATTGGGGTAAAGCAGATACCCTTGAGATATCCCTCCAAATGGCCTTCTCCTTGGCCATCTTTCAATGCAATAAATCAAAACTACCTTTTCTTATTTGTGTTCACCATCTGACGTGGTAGCACTAAAGGGAATTACATTTGCATGTATTTAAATATAACAGTGATTTCTTAGATTGATTTAGGCATAATTTGTTTTCCTTCCAAGACGTTTTCTATTAAAAGTCCTGGCTAGAACAACCCAGATCTGGTCCTTCCGCAACATGGAGTTCCTGAGCCCTTATGTGAGATGTTATTTCTGATTTTGCCTGCAGGATGGTACCAAAGTAGTAGGAAAATGTGGCGGTTACTGTGGGAAATGTACTCCATCATCTGGAACGGGCCTTGATGTTCAGGTGTTATAGCAATGGTGAGTTCACAGCTGCTTCTGCACGAAGGGAAATCTTCCTGAAAATGTCCTGAAGGAGCAGATCGGGCCACGCTTGCAAAAGCACTCGTGCGTCGAGTGCATCGGTGACAGCCACCCACCCCACGCAGCATCCAGGGAGCGATGGGACCCCGTGCTCCCAGTCCTCACTTCCCCCAGTAACCCTTACAGATATAACTCCGTCAACTGGACGCGCGCTTCCCACCTCGCTGGCACCCGCTTTGGCCCTGCTCTTGTGCCCACCTCTCCAGCTACAGGCTTCAGAGGCGAAGATGATGATCTGACTCTCACATGCCCCTTGTCTGTATTTTCCAGGTTCTCCGAGAGCGGCCAGCGGCGGTGGGACGGATGAAGGATAGTGATGCAATACCTCTGCCTTCCACTTTTTTATCTGTTTATGTGTGTATATAGATCGCATATTCTTAATGTACAGTATAATATTTATGTTTGGAATTATTTATTTTGATTTAATATTTTTGTACGTAAAATCATTATATTAAGGCTGCTTTTACTATTTTTATTTTTTATTGTTAAATCCTGCAGTCAAACCACTGCATTTTGCGTACTCTACATTATATGTAGCATTAAGACAAGTGATACTTTATTGTCACTGTATTCAGTTGTTTACTTTCAATCAGTAATTTTCCTTCAGTTACGGGCTGCTTTGGCCCTCCACGGTGCTACACAATCTGCATAGGGGTATTTTTGGCATTTCAATCTGTCTTTATGTAAGGAAAGTAGACAAGATGTGCTTAAATTTTTTTTTTTTAGTGATTAGGCCGACAGCACTCGAGGAAAACATGACAATGAATACAGTGCTAGTTGCATTAGCAATCTTTATCTTTTAGGTATGTTTTGAATTTCACATGACCTCTGTGGCCAGTGCTCAAAGCACTGGTTTGGTGCTAACATGGTATTTATTAATGCTCTGTAGTTTTAGTTAATCCAGTGCCTTTATCAGTGAAAAAAGGAAGAAAGCAGAAATAATTGTCAGGCGATTCAAATAAATGAAGAAAATTCCTGCAGATGGATCTTCAGCTCGAGCCCCTTTTTCCAAGGGCTCTGAAGTGAACTTGCTTTTTAAAAAAACATATATTTGTCTCCTAATTGCATGTGCCACTGTGCTTCCTGGCTCCATCTGGAAGCGGGGTATTAACTCATCCCAGACAGGCTGATCAGGCCATATGTTTCCCTGGGCTGCGCGTTGAGAAGCGCTGCAGTTTCTTAATGGGCGTTGTCACGAAACTCCAACGTGAAGCCGAAAGCATCCCTGCCGTGTTACCTCCCCGCGGGGCCAGTGAGGACCGTGGGGTCTGCGGCAGGGGATGGGGCTCCTCGCCAAGCCACCCCTGCCTCTTGGCCGGGGGGCTCCATCGCAGGCACCTGCAGCGTTTCCTCGGCTTCCTACTCACTCACGGACCATCTGCAAAGGGAGCCTTCAGCGCCGGCTCTGCCTCCTTTCAACGAGATCACTCTGTACTTACAGATAACTCTGCCCCCCCCTTCAAAAACAAGCTGCTTTACGCCTACTTCTGTGTTGCTTCGGATCTTCCTGGTAAGGCATCTGCGCTCCTTGCCTATCCGCCATCCCGTGTACAATCAGACCTTTTGCGCTGGCTTTTTTTATATCTATAAATTGAGGAGACATCTCCCATAGGCGCCGAACGCGGCTGTGCGATGGCTCCCGCCTGTACATAGCCCGCCGCTTGTGCCACGCCACGTTTTCGCAGAGCTTCGTAGCACGTTGAACGGGGGTGATGTGACCAGATTATTTTTGTAGTCTATGACTATGTCCCTTATCTCTTTCTCCACAATTTTACTTAGTGATAGGAAGATGCTGCCCCTTCACCTTCTATGTCGGGGTGGCCAGGAGCACAAAGTACAAGGAAAGGAAGCTTTTCAGCACAAAATAGCCAGCAGTTTGGAAAACCAGAGACTTCTCTGCTACTTTGGAGAAGTCTTGCAAATTTGGATGCGAATAGTTAACAAACACAACCTCAGGATCTTGTGTGAGTCTTCTGCCGAGCTCCCCAAAGGATGTGTAATCAGCCTGTTACAAACCAGTCGGATCAATAGCGATAACGGATCCGATCCCTGGATCCACAACCCACACGTGCAGGGGGCCGGGTTCAGCCCTTCAGAGCGAAACCTGTCAGGGACCGACGTATTTGCGTCAGCCAGGAGACCTCTCGCAGGCGAGCAGGGCTGGGGCACAGTCCAGCAGCTCAAGAATTGGTGCTCTACACTTATTTTGTGTCTGCCTCTGCTGCTCTTATTGATATTCAGACTTAGAGGAAAGAACGAGACTCTTACTCATAATTCGGGTTTTTTTGGCATAATGGTGCGTAAGTAGATATGATCATATCTTAGAAAGACTGATTTTTCACCTACATTGTATGTCTATGCATAACAATAATAAATTTTACCTTTCTGAAAAAAATGCCAAAAATACCATTGCAAAGGTGAAAGAAAAGGGAAAGGGGAAAAGGTAAAGAGAAAAAAGAAAAAGGGAGGGGGGAAGGAGCAGAAATGGAATAGTGACTTTTTAATTGCTTACGTATAACTTCTGTAGGGGAAAAGGGAAAATTGCACTATGAACTTTAGAAAGAAACGGTGCTTAGAAAGTACAGGCTTATTATATTTTCTTTAATGAAGTAAATGGCTATTTATAAAAAGAAATATTATTATGACCTGTACACATTCATTTTTACCATATAATTTCATAGCAGCTATTAACAGAGCAAGAGAAACCTAAAAAAGCTATTAAATAAACTATAAGGGAAAAAACTGATAGAGCACTGATCCTGTGGTTCATTAATGGGCTTCATTAAATAGGAACAGACTTCGAGGACCAGAGACGTTAGACATTTTTTGTTCAGGAAACAACTCTGGGTTTTGTATATCAATGCCATTATTTGTCTACAAACTGGGGTGTTTTTTTGCAAGCACTTTCCTGTACAGTGTTTCTTTTCTTTCTGCTTGTACTCAAAAGGAAATGAAAAGGCCCATAAGACATATCTGTATGGTCTTTCTGCATTTGCCATCGTATTTCAATACCTGTGTGCTATTATAGAGGCAAAATACTTTGTACACAAGGGAATAATACATTGAATGGTAAACATTCCTTTCTGTGCTGGTGTTTATTTTCGAGCTTTGGGTTCCTTGTTTGAATGTCCCATGCAAAAGGAATGTGGGAGGGTAATATGTTTATATGGAGCCCTGCCCCAAGCCCACCTTGGGGCCTGTGGTTCAGGGACCATCCTGGAGAACAGCCACGGCCATCCCCTTGTGTCCTGCTGGTCAGATAGACTGATGATGCCCAATTTCTGTCAGGAGAGGAGTGCCCAAGGTACAAACCATACCCGAGCACATCTCAGAGGTGCCCCGTGCGCTTCTCAGACGTGCCTGGTGACCGGCTGGTGCTGCCACCCACGCGCCAGGGACATTCCTCGCCATGGGACGATAACGGAGCCAAACGGTTCATTTAGCAAATGTTTATACACAAGAAAATTCAGGTAGAAGAAATTGGGGTGAAAAGGAAGCAAACGTGGCAACTGGCTCCCAGGAGGGCAACCAAGTGATAAACTGCAGCCAGAGTCTTACATCGCCTCTGCCCTTTGAGGCTGCAGAGATGAGTAAAGAAGTCGCATTTTTCTGTCCTCCCGTGTATATTCCTCATGCTTTCTCTCAGAAAATGCAGCAGGTCTCTTTGTGCTGGCAGCTCCAGCCTTTTCCAGCTTCTACGTTTTCAATCCAAAAGGAGAGAGGACACCTTTCTCGTGCTGTCTAAAACAGTCAGATGCAGAAATCAGAACATGCGGTATTTCAAAAGCTTGATTCTTAGTTTAAATGACCACAGTCTTAAAGGTGTCTTTCCTTTCTATCATTTATCCTTCATAAATGATTACAAAGACTTTAAATATGGGCTGCTGTAGAATTAAGACATATTTAACCTTCCAGGCCTGTATAATGAAAGGGTCACTCTAACACTGTTGATGCTTAGGTCCAGTTTTTCTATGAGAATTACAGCGCTCTTCTTCAGCCTTTTTGTACAGTCTATCAGGATTCATTGCTCCAGAGACAGAGGTAATTGCTTCATATCTTCAACATTCTTTTCTGCCCCAGTAATGGGCATTTTTTCCTCTATAGAAAAATAAAATGCATTTTGTCGAAGGCTGGTGGAGAAGCAGGTCTCAAGGAGCTAGTCTTAAATCGGGACATTTGCTAGAAAACCTCCTTCTGTATAGCCATGCTTTGAAAATTGTATTGAAAAATGGGCAGGGAGAAAAGACCAAGGAGGGCAGTCTGGGCTTGAAAGACAATTTTCCACCAAGGCACTGCCAGACCTGGTCTAGTGGGTCTTTCCAACACGGCTCCTCTTCCCAAACAGATGATTGAGGGCTGACTTAGAGAAAGCATTTCCGACGGGGGAACAGCACTGAGGTGAGATGGTTCTCCTGTCTACCCGGCAAAGGCACACAAATTCAACCCAACCCAGGAGTCATTAACAGCTGAAGCAGCTCAGCCCACGTGGTAAGTTCTCCCGTTGCTTGAGCTCTTAAGATTGAGAACTCTTTAAGTCTTTTTAAGAAATACATTTGAGGTCATCCAGAAGTCACTAACCTTAGTAGCTGTTGGTCATTCAGTGGGAGGGGATGCGTCCCTCTGCGGCACAAATTCCTGGAGGCAGCTCTCCAGCTTGTGTAGTGCGGGAGGAAGGAGCTGATGGCTGAAAGTGGTGCCTGTCAGTCTCGCTCCAGCATCTTCCAAGTATATTTGCCTGCACTGGGGTAATCCAGGCAATCGGAATTGTAGCCTTCCAGAAGCAGATTTAGTTGACAAGTTTCTGACCTCTCTTTGCAATAGCAAGATGAAGAATGCTCAGTTATTTTTGGCCTTCACAGAAGAGTCTGAGTTTCCATTTCAAATTTGGCTTAATTTTTCAGCTATTTTATATTACCAAACATGAGACACGGT